TTGTCATTTTGCACAACTGATATATTGGTATCAGAAATTAAGAGTCAAACGATATCGATATGTCGGATATCGGTAAAAAAGTAAAAATCGAGCATCTATAGCTCTTGTGGATGTAAATAGCAGCATCTAAGGAATGTTTTTCAGTAAAGATAATTTGGGGAGCTACTGCCACCTACAGGCTTAGCATGCCTATGAATTGGCTTCATAACGCACTAGATTTTTTGGATGAAAACTAAGGTTTTTTTCTAGATGTGCCGGGAAAATAATAAGTTTTATAAAATCCCAGTAACGTGTACATGGCCTTACTGAGCTGCAGACCCAAAAAAAGTTGTCTTCTACCTCCTTTGCTAGTGACAATGATTTATTCATGATGGTGTGCTGTAGGATGTATATTTTTTGTTTTTTCCAGATTTTTTTTTCTTTCTTTTTTTGTCACTGAGGTTGCAGCTCAAACAGGAACTGGTCTCTTTCCAGTTTGAACAAAGCGATGCATCCACACTAACTGATCATCTGAGTCTTCCAGGAGTTATTCTGTCTTTATAACCATTAATTTTTTAGAATTGGACTCAAACACTCAGAAAAGGCACACTGTCTTTGCTTTTCATTGCCCTCCTTAAAAACAGCAAAGTCTCATTAAACCTCCATGCTTATTGTTTTCGTGCTTTCGCAGTATGGGATGTTGATGGCTCAAGACTTTTACCCTTTTTTCTTCATGTGGACATTTCTTGAGCTACACACACACACACACACACACACACACACACACACACACACACACACACACACACACACACACACACACACACACACACACACACACACACACACACACACACACACACACACACACACACACACACACACACACACACACACACACACACACAAGCCCTCCATTTGAAACTGTGGCGCAATTTTAAACCTCTGTTTGTGTAGCACATTGTGTTCTTTCATACTCCCTGCTCTGATTCAAAGACGATCAGAGAGGTTGTGTCATGTGCTCGGACCAGAGACACTGTTAGAAAATGAGTCTTTTCACAACTTTACATAGAAACATTTGTTTTAATATTTATTCTGGTGTTCATGTTGAGGAATTTGTACTAATAAAACAGCTAAAGTTGTAACAGCTGTAACTGGGTTAACCAATGTTGGATATTTACGATGTAGAATAAAGTTTCAGACACATAATTAATTGTCTAGTTTTTGCCAAAGTAGTACACAATATATCTCTTTATTTTACCATTAATTGTTTGTAAAATAACAATTTTTAACTGTTTTACAGTTATTTACTTGAATTAAAAACTAGTTTCCAATGATTCACATGAAAATAAATTTCTACAAAATTACAATTTTTAAGTAAAATAAACACTAACACTATGTTTCTTTTACTTTTTGTAAAATTACAATTAGGGATGCTCCGATCACATTTTTTTGCTCCCGATCCGATTCCAAGTCATTTGATTTTGAGTATCTGCCGATACCGAGTCCCGATCCGATACTTCAGCAATACAATAAAATAGCAAGAAAAAAGGGAGACTGCACCCAAATTGACCTGTTAGGTTTATTATTATTATTATTATTTATATGACTGCATCCAACATGATACCATGAGAAAGTAGAAACATTTTGTTAGTGCAGCAGCACTTCAAACTAAGTAAACAAAATTATATCTTTGTAGCTTATCAGTGGTGCAACAATATGTAAACAAATTTGTTTTTATAGAAAAGTAGAAAAGGTTTGTAAAATAACTCAACACAATAATAGAAGTTAAATTAAAGTGCTTACCTCCACCTCTAAGAGGTAGTTGCATAATTCAGTCAGGTAACAAAATAAAATACATCTTAGGCGCCTTTGACTGACTAGTTTATTAAAACGAACAAAAGATATGCCTAATCAAAGTGATGTACGAACTTCACCATTCAAGTATAAAACATCAACATCAAATTGCAAAGAACTGGTAAATCACCTCTTCCATGTGCTCTACATGGAGCTCAACTTTTACTTTAAGGCTCCCAAATAAAGTGCAGTTTAAAATGATTCCAAACCGCTGACATTTTTTGCTCTCCTGGAGCGAGACGAGCATTAACCTGCTAGCTAACTGCTACCTGAATTCCACGGTCCACTTTAAAACGTGTGACGTTACGGCTGCCGTATGGTGTTGTCATGTCGTTATTGAGGAAGTGAAACTTGGTACAAAATTAAGCCATTGTTATTCAATTTGAAACTCAAGATTGATTAAAAATGTCATGCTTGTTGTTTTATAAGGTTAAATCCGATCTTTAACACCCGATTCCGATCTTTTAAAAGTCACGTGATTGGTCCTGATTTCCGATCACGTGATCGGATCGGAGCATCCCTAATTACAATGCCACATCATATTGACCCTTTGCACCTAATGTCACCTAATTACTTGGGATGTCCCGTTCCGATATTGATATCGGCCCCAAAACACTATCGGATTATATTGGACTGCATAAAAAATCTTCAGATTTTAGTACGTTCCGCTTTAAACTCCATTCCAGCAATTCTATCCATCAGCACCCAGATCCAGCATGCAAAGTCCACGCGGTCAGAACAATGTGTGCTAGCAAAGTAGCAAGGAACAATGTCGGCCATGTGGCTGTATTTTTCGTTAAAGTCCGAAAAAGACCATTTTGCTCAGTGCAGAACTTGTCATGCACAGGTTTCCCGTGGTGAAACAGAACCGGGGAAGTTTAATATGTCCGACCAACCTCATCGTGAATTTGAAGCAGGATAACAAAACATTGCATGAGGATTTTCGCAATGTGTGAAATTGAAACTTTAGACACTCAACTTGTAGCGGTTGGTTGGTGACTAATATTGTGTATTTTTCCTTATGTCCCTAACCTAAGCTGTTCACATTCGTGCAACCAAAGTTTGATTAAAAAAATGATGAGTTTATAATACTTACAGTTGCAGGCTTTTGTTTTTTTGTTTGAGTAATTTCACTTGATCAAGCCATTCCACACTATGAAATGGGTAAAAGTATGTATGATTTGTGCAGATATTGTAGGGCTGGGCGATCTGGCCTAAAATCAATATCACGATATGTTGAGGATTTCATCTCCATAACGATAAATGGACGAAAACTACAGCTATGTGCAGAAATAAAAGTTGTCCACTAGATGGGGCTGTCACATGTATTACATCGAGTCACATTTTTCATAACTCAAGGTGGTACAGCTTCTTAAAGGGACATGAACACTGCCAACCTAAACGCATCTTTTCATTTTTTAAATCAAATTTATTGACATGGGGAAAATTATCGCTAAGAGTCAGAAACTTTGATAACAATACATTTTCGATTTATTGCCCAGCCCTAAGATATCATATCAGATTGATGTCGGTATCGGTCAGTACTGAAGGCTGCAATATCTGTATCGTATCGGAAGAGAAAAGTTGTATCGGGACATCCCTACTAATTACGTGGGTCTACCATATTGGTTAGCTAAAGCATGTAAACAGTGAGTGACACGACTACTAAACAAAGGGAAAAGCAGAGCCTGAAAAAGTTTTTTGTAATCTAGTTCAGTTATCAGTGGAAGTAGCACACTAGCTTAAGTTCTCTTTGCAGCTGTTTACAGATGTAAGTTGCCGACTTAGCCTAAATTTACCCCGCTGGGTTTATAACATTATGTCACAAACAGTGTTTCACTTTACACCGAAGCTTTGAAATCAACTGAATAAAAGCAATAAAAGGCTACAATCTGGCTTAATTTCACTCGCTTCACTGGACTTTCAACGGGTGTAAACTATCTTTTTGCCAACCATCATGGCAAAGGGGGCGGCCCCATGAGTGGTGTGACATCACGTGCAAAGGGTGATTACGTAGACACCCCGTGGTCTGAATGCCTCCCTGCTTGACACAGCTTTAAGGGGTTGGATTGGGGGGGTTAAGCCACCAATTAGTAGAGGTGGGAAAAATGATCGATTCTAAGATGCATCGCGATTCAGCCGTGCGTGCATGATTCTGCATCGATGCAGCAACGTGACATAATGAGATTTTCTCCCTATATCTGTTCTGGACGTGCGAGGACAATAAAGTTTTGAGGTTTTACAACTAATTCTGGGGGCAGAATTGCAATGACATGCACACTGCGTTGCCCTAGCGCCAATTTAAAACAGAAAAGGCGGACAGGGATACAGGACAAACATTACCAGTAATCAAAGATGCACCCGTTACATTTAAATCGGATGTCTGGGCTAATTTCAGTTTTGGGATCCTGGATGTGAAAGAATCACTTAACACAGCATTTGTTTACGATTTTTAAGTTCAGTTGTATTCTATCTTAAAGCTGCTCTACAGAAAACATTATTTCTTATATTTTTTAAGTAATTATAGGCAGCACACTTTAAAAATTGTTGCTCACTATAGTGAATAGATGTATGATCTGTTTTTCAGGGATGTCGAAATAAAAAAGAAATTGAGAACTATTCTACTGCTTTTATTAAGGAATGAAAAATTTTGTGTGAAGAATCGTGATGCATTTCAGACTCAAATCAAATCTTTAGGCAGATAATCGGAATCGGATCGAATCGTGAGGCAAGTAGAGATGCACCCCACTACCAATTAGTTCCCAAGTGCAGCCACAGCTGCAGCTCAATGCTCCCCATAGGGATGGGTCAAATGCAGAGATGAATTTTACCAGTGTGTGATGACTAATGGGACTTTAACTTGACTCCGGTTGTTGCAACCATAGGCTGCATGAAAAATGGGCATAGCTGCCCACCCTGCGTTGTTCCATTTGGGTTTGAGAGTGTGGTACCCACCCAATATGGCAGCGATGCTGTTATGTTCTCCAGCACCGAACGGGGCGTCTACATATTCATGTTGATGAATAGCTCTCTAGTTATCCATCTGTCAAATAATAGACACCTCCTAGTGGTTGTTTGTAAAATGCTGGTTTCAGGATTCATACATATATAACATGTTAGAAATTCATGGTTTATGCATTTTGCCTTTCTGTATTTTCCTCCAGATTGATCGATGGGGATTCTCACAGGAGCTCCGCCCACCGTCGCTGCCCGCCCTCCTCCCCCCTCCCACAGCTGCTTGTCGTTTGCCCCCAGCCACACCATCATCCAGCCCTCCATCCAGCCCCCTAGACACAAAATGACTCTGGAACTCACTGAATGGTCTTCTATATGGATTTTTATTGCTTGTAATAATAGACAGTAAAAAGGAAAAAAAATTGGGAGAAACCTCAATGACAAAAAAGCCATAAACACCCCACACTCACACACACACTCATACACATGCAAAACACAGTACCGATAAACCAAATAAACACAAATGCACAAAGTCGCTCTAGGAATGTACCACCCACTCTTCCTGTGGAAATCTTACTTAATATTTTTGAGATTTTTGTGAGCCTTTGGAAAGCTGATTTACTTTGTTTTAACTGTGGCTGGAAAACAAGAAGGATTTCATTTTCTTGGAGGACGAATTATTGCTATTTTTCTTTTCCAGCGTTTTATTATTTGGTCATTAGAAGTTCTGTAAAATTAAATCTGTTGATTGCAGTTTCTTCAGCATTCATGTAGTGTTTATGGATAATGTAAATTTAACAAGAATTAATTTTACTGCCTTGTTTTTAAATCCTAATTCTACTCTTTTTGAACACTGAAGTTAAATATAGAATAATAGCCAGCCAGTTCTGTGCACTGGTCACGGATCGTAGCTTGATAGGGTTTTAATGAAGTCACGGCTAGTTTTAAAGTAGCATCAAGTCACTTGAAACAAAAGTGTTTTTTTTTTATTTAATTTAATTTTTTTTTACACAGTTGCACATTCTGAGCTTTTTGTGTTCATAGGGGAGTGCTTGTTTTTTTGTTGCTTGCATGCCATCCACTATGCCTCCCCAGAACACAGAGGCTGACACTATGCAGGTCGGATCTCTGGTCCGCGGCACTGCCGCCCAAAAATCTACGGGATCAGGTGCAGAAGAGGAGAAAAGTGGAGTGGGCGGAGAAGCGGATGGATTGGGGAGCGGAGGAGGCGGTCGAGGAGGGGAGGAGTCGGCGAGCGAAGGATCCATACAGGGGATCCCCTTGAAGAAATGGGTGATGCATGGCGCTGTGATGTTTGGCCGGGAGTTTTGCTACGCCATGGAAACGGCATTGGTGATGCCCGTGCTGCTGCAGATAGGTGAGTTCATGTTGGGTTTTTTTTGTACGTAATTCTGTTCATGTTCTATTACTGATTTGAATTCAAGAACCAATATTTGACCATTCATGGCCTTGCTCACTTTGGCTTGCGACCGCCCACGCAAGGCTGTGTTGCTTGGAGAGACCAGAGCACATCTTGGTTAGTAGAAGCTAACCATTGGCAAATCCGCAACAGAGCGAAACATGTTCAGACTTGTGTTGGAGCTAAAACAACCCAAGAAAATATGTTTTACAGAGTTGAATTGCGGTTGGCCAATCAGAGGCTAGAAATTTGCATATCGACAAATACACAGACAAATTTCAACTTCCTGAAACATTCATTCATTCATGCTAAAGAGCGCAGTAAATTTATTCAAAGAATTAGTGAGTGAGACTTTTGAAAATTGTCTGATAGTTTGTCTCTTTAAAGGCACACTAAGTAACGTTTTCATATTTTTAAATAATTTTCTTGAGCCAGTAGGTGCTAATATGACTAATATGTCTTGCAGCCCCCTCCACCCTTTCTTAGTAGGATACTCCGCTTGCAACTTCAGTCTCTCTGGACCGCTGCCCTGAAGTCTTATAAAGTCACGCTTTACGTCTCAGAACAGACAAGCTATACCTGGCTAGCATTTATTGTAGTGTGTTCATCATGGTGGAGCCTCAGAAAAAATGAAAATATTTATCTGATGATGCTACAAAAATAAAAAGAACATCAGACTACAGTCGGAGTCAAACGAGTCAACATCAGGGAGTTATCTCAAGAGACATGATCCCTGCATATTTTAGATCATGAACACAGCCCATTAGCTTTATTTAGTGATGAACTGCTGCTGTAGAAACTAATGAGGGTTGAGGAGACATTTCAGCACTTAGATTAGGTGTTAAAAGCACGAGTGCACAGCAAGGAGGAGAGTTTCAATTTTTACAACATTGTATTAAAGCAGTTACTAGGGGGTGCTAAAAGCAAGCCAAAGCTTCAAAGTTGATTTAAATCAACAATGTGTTGGCTTTAGAGCCTCCTAGAGGTTAAGAATGTAACTGCAGTCCTGCACATAGAAGCTGTTGAATTTAGGGAACTGCTATTTGATTTAGCAAACAAACCAATGTTAAACAGCAAAATTGTTCTGTTCACTTTGGATTTTGAAATAAAAGTTGTTGCATTAAGATATTAGCAGTTTAAAAAAAAATACTATTTCAACCAGAATCAGAAGAGTGATTGCATTGCTTAAGTACGGGTGGGATGAAAATATTTGTCATACAGAAGTACACAAACCAACAACCATTTGTACGGTCCTGACGTGTTCGTGTCCCATCACACACCCTAAACTCCTCCCCATCTTGTTGGCATGGATGTCTACCAGGAGATTATCTGGTTTGTCCTCTGACTCACAGCACACGTGCACATTAACACATTCACTGAGAGACAAATCTATATTTACGACTATTGAGACTCTGTATCGTTACAGCAGGAAAGTTTTTACTGAAGGAATTGTGAGCAGAAACAGGAGTTGAATGAATAAAAATGAGGTTGATGGCGAGCTGAGCCTGGCATACGCTTATTTATAATTAAACATATTTACTCATGCTGCTCTCTTTAGCTGCCTTCCTTTCCAAATTCCTTCTCCTCTTTCTTTGACCTTGTGTGATCTCCTTCTTTACATAACCAAGGAGCCTTTTATGGACAGGTCACTCTGGCTGCTATGACTCCTGACTTTCTCAGCTTAGGATGAGCCGCCACAGGGGACAGATCTTTAAAACCCTCCCTTCACTTGTGTCTGAAGAACATTTGTTGACTTTCTGACAAGTGTTGCATATTTACAGTCAGATTAGCCAAATGCAGATGAGTTTTAAACCGTAAAATAAATACCTGAGATGCTGCTGTTGCTCTCCAATCTGCACCTTGTTTTTGTTATCTCTGCAACCCTGTTTCTGGCTCGTCGGCTGCTGTATCTGACAGGAGAGGCACTGCGTGTTTTTGTTCTAATTTTAGCCCTGATTTAGCCGCCCTAGCCTACTTTTGTAGATCAGGACATGTCTGAACCCTTCTTAATAGATTTTGAAACAACTGAAGTACAAAATGCTCTGATTAGTCCACAGAAATAAATTAAACCAAAACAGGCTTTGATATCTAGTTGAGATTGATCACTAAAGAGACAGTAGCCACGTTTACATGCACATATTTAATCGGATTGAATGCCCAATCAGATCGAAAATTCTGCATGTAAACATGTCAATCGGAATATTCTGATCCGATTCGGCCCGATCGGATTGAAATTTCGATCCGATTGAGAGAGATGGTTTATTCCGTTCTTCATTCCGATTGACGTGCATGTACACAGCCAGTTAATCCAGTCAAGCTGCATTTCTCCAGTTAATTATGCTAGCAAAGATTTTTGTTTTTTGTTTCCGAGCTCTCAGAGGCTCATTGTATTGCAGAATTCAATCAGATTGGATGTAGATCACAAAACCTGTGATTAATTATCAACGAGTAATGGATTGGGCCAAATGGGTCAAAATAATAAAGAAGAAAGAATAGTGTGTGTGACTAACTTCCTGATTTAACAGCGGTGTGGCGCCTACAAAATGCGTTCTTTATTGATTAATCAAGGATTGCATCCTTTTATTTTCAAATACAGAACGATTCTTTTCTGGAGATGGTTGGCAACAGATGAGCATTAGCATGCTAGCAATTCAAACTGGCATTGTTGTTCTTGTAAAGCTAGTTTTTGATATTTTGTGACATAAACCCAGTTATGGTATTTGTGGGTGTTTGCCTCCTGAAATAATTGCTAGGTAGTTTTAAGGTTTCACCTAAACAAATCTTGCTAGCTTGTTGATGTTTAGCACAAGACCTGAGACCATTATGGCTCCAAAGTGCATGTTTCTTGTTTGCTGAGAAACCGTATATTACTTATTTATTTTTAAGTATGGTCGATAACTCTATGCATGATGAATGTGAAAATGGTCTTCAACTCCCATTTCCTGTGTTAGCTCATTAACTGCCACCCATTTCCCACCCATTTTCCTATCAGTAAAGCCATTCGCTGCCACCATTTTTCAGCATTTTCATAGTTTCTTTAAGATTCACAGAACGTTGCGCCATTGGCGTAGATTTGCTTTTAACATTGGTGGGGACTTATAAATCTAACACCATATGCGTAATGGCGGTAGGACTTGTGGAGAATACTTCATTTAACCCTTTCTGCACCTCTAGGCTAACTAGACGATGAATGGCGGCTTGTTATGTTTTAGTAGAGGTGGTCAAATTATTGGTGGGGACTATTTGGTCATCGCTGGATATTGGTGGGGACACGTCACCTCCGTCCATGCCAAACCTACGCCCATGCACTGCACTCTATGATAATGTCAATGCCAAAACTAACAAAACAAAAAGGAGACTCACCTCTTACATCGGTAAGAATCCGTGTGTTTCGAGTGTAGAATAGTGATCGGCAGAAGCTTTTCCGGTTCGTGCCTCACTTTTTTTACAGCAGCGGTCCAAAACGATCTCCTAACACATGGATTTTCTGCTTCCTGATCACGTGACGTGTGACATACGCGGATGAAGATCAGCTTTAGAGATAGGATGTTTGTTCTCACGGTGCAGGGGCTCGTTCCGACACCCACACAGTAAAAAAATTTGCAAATGACGACTTTTCCCGTCAGTGGCAGTTAATGAGTTAAAAGCCAAAAGGAAATAAGACAGGGAAATGCTCAGGTCAGAACTAGCCAGACAGATACAGAAAGCAGAGCACATCTTGGCTAGTAGAAGCCAACCATTAGCATTAGCAACTCCAAAACATGGCTAGACACATTCAGGCTTGGAGGCTGTGGAGAGAGCACATCAGTGGAGAATTTTTTACCAAAGAAAGAAGAGCAAATGAAGGCAGTAGAAGAGTAGCATTGCCGTTAGCCAATCAGAAGTGAGACTAAGGATGCATCAATACCACTTTTCCCCAAACCGATACGATACTTGGATCTGAGTACTCTCCGATACCGATACTTCCACTGCACAAAAAAATGCAATGAATTGAAATACAGGTTTTATTTTCTTCTCTGCTTTCAACGGGACAAGACTGTGAGGTACATAAAAAATCAAATATATTAACTCATTCACTGCCATTGACGACTAAAGTCGTCATTTTAGATCCAACCGTTCACTGCCAATGACGACTAAAGTCGTCATTTGCATTTTTTTTACTGTTTGAGCATTGGAACGAGCCCCCGCGCTGAGAGAACAAACATCTCAGCCCTGAAGCCGATCTTCATCCGTATACGTCACAGATCACATGATCAGGAAGCAGACCATCCATGTGTTAGGAGATCTTTTTGGGCCGTTCCTGTAAAAAAAGTGAGGCGCGAACCGGAGAAGCGTCTGCCGATCACAATTCGACAACGGATTATGAAAGAACGGATAACGCTCGAAACACACGGCTTCTTCCTGATGTTAGAGGTGAGTCTCCTCTTTGTTTAGGTTGTTTTGGCATCGACATCATGCTAGCGCGCAACGTTCTGTGACTCTTAAAAAAACAGTAAAAACGGTGAGAAACGCTGGCAGTGAAGGCCGTTGGCGATCAGGAAACGGCTGGCAGTGAATGAGTTAATAGAAATGGTCACAAAACTAAAATATTAGGTGAACAGAAATGACGAGTTACAGTGAAGCCACTTTCAGGCAACTGCATTGGTATCTGTTAATTTTTACCGATACCGATTAAAATGCGTGCAGGGAATTTTCCTCCTTCCTTTGTCTGCTGATTGGCACCATGATTGTTTTAACGAAGCTTGATGTGGCACGTCTCTGCAGCCTCGGCTGATGATGACTGTGGCCAAACATGGTCAAGAAATAAGAGAAAAACTTCAAACAAAGCAAGTGAATCCCAGCAGACCAGAATAGTGTTTTCCACCTCAAACACTATTGAAAAGTGTTGATGGGACCATTGTTACGCAGTTGAAAAAGTGCTGACAGGACAAACGAGATGAAAGCCACACGAAGGACTC